TTTTTGGGAGAAGTTATGGCTCAATTTTAATTTATTTTAATTATGGTTCAATTGCTAAAGTCAGTTTGTCCACCTACTACCAAACAACTACCTATTTACAAACTTCTAAAACAATCCCCTAGTCCGCTAATTGCTAGTAGTGGTGTAATTGAACCAAGTCAAGTTTGGGCATTTCGAGTTCGTATTCGTTTATGTTGGAACACTATTCGTGTTCGTTTATTTATTTTTCCGAGTAAAAAATTGTGTTCAAGGTCTTTCGTTTTAATTGTTCGCCAAAACTTGAGTTCGTGCGTGTTCGAATAATTTAGAACACAAACTTTTTAAATATGTTTAATTAACTCAAAATTTGTTCGTCTGAACTCGAAAAAAAAAAATTTCATATAGATTTTTTTATTAAAAACATCATGCAAATGTACAAAAATAAAATAAAATTATAATAAATTAATGTTCGCGGACATTATCGAACATTCGCGAACGAGCCCGTATCATTCGATTATTAAACAAGTTTAATTTTATGTTCGAATTCAGCTCGATTAACAAATGAACGAGCTCTTATCAAATACAAACAAGCTCGAACGAGCTTTTCTTCGCAGATACTCGATTCGTTAACAACCTTATCAACTAATACAATAAACTATTTGTTTCAACTAATAGTCAACAAGGTCGACATAAATTTTTCATAATGGCATTATGAATTGTATTTAGCAAACAACTATTTACAAACTATATTAATAAAATTCCTTAATCAAATCAGCTATTACATTAGTCAAATAATTTGTTACAATCCAATAATGCATATCATCATTCACTTCTTCTTTTGGAGAATTTAGCCGAAAACAACCCATCAATAATAGAGGCTACTTTTGCTATACAGCGACATTAGGTGTGATAGATTTGGTCATTGTGGGTCAAGATGGCAGGCCCACTTAATGGTCCCAACTTTTTTACAATAATGATTTTACGGTACCTACTCAAAGTCTCAACACCAGATCCATTATATCATTTGCATTTCATCTGAATTTCATATTCTTCTTCACCGGAAATAAGCATTTGAGAAAAATCTTCCTAGCTAAATCGGACTTCACTTCACCAACAGGGATCCATGGCAGCTTATGGAGCTTTGCTTTCTCTTACAAACACCATACACCAAATCCTGAATCACCCTCGCCCACCCATCTCCCTCGACAAACTACAAATCGAACCTCTGATAAAAAAGGCTGCTTTCTTGCAAGATTTTCTTGAAAACTATACCATCGATGATGCAGATGGCTTGGAGGGGCGTATGGTCGATGCGGCTCACGCGGCAGAGGACATTATCGAGTCCCATATTGCCGATCATATCGATCATATTAGGGATGAAGACGAAGACTCTTTGTATCGATATATACGGAGAATGATGGTGGAATCCGATGCGTCTCACGAGGCAGAGGATATTATCCAGTCCCACACTGCCGATCATATCGATGCTCGTGGGGAAGCTATCATCAGTTCCAAGGACAACGAGTCTTTGTATGGAGAGCTACAGAAAGTGATTCACGACTTCGATTCCATCACAAAAGACGTGGCTGCTGTTAAAGAGAAGGCGGGGAAAAAAATTGTTCCTTCCGATGACGACATGCTGGGTTCTGATGATGTCATGAACGACATCATGGACATGGACAAGCTGACCAACAGTCGTTATTTGGAGGGGGACGACACGATGGCGGGTGTCATGAACGACATCATGGATGAGCTGACCAATAAACAATCCGGTCGTCGGATCATCGCCATTACCGGCATGGGTGGCATTGGTAAGACCACTCTTGCAAAACGTATTTACGAAAATCAACTTATTGTGGAACACTTTTATATTCGTGGATGGGCTACAGTCTCTCAAGAATTTGATTCGAAAAGGATTTTGTTACAAGTCCTTCACTGTTTGAATAAAACCATGGCGAGTGAGGACAACGAACATAAATTAGGAGAGATGTTGTATAAGAGCTTATTTGGGCAACGGTATCTGATTGTGATGGATGACATTTGGGGCACGGACGCGTGGAACAGGGTGAAGTCCTTCTTTCCAGGTAACAACAACGGGAGCAAAGTACTAATAACAACTAGGCCATCGAAACTGGCTTTGCAACTGGATGACCCAGACTACTTTCAAATGCCTTTTCTGAAGCTGGACGAAAGTTGGAATCTGTTGTGTAGGTGTGTGTTTCAAGAACAAGGGTGCCCTCCGGAGTTGGAAGAGATTGGGAAGGAGATTGCCAGGAACTGCCAAGGCCTTCCGTTGTCGATTGTCGTGATCGGAGGACTCCTAGCAAAGTCTGAACAAACACGAGAAAACTGGCAACACGTGGCAGAAAATTTAAGCTCAATCGTGAATTTAGAGGAGGGCGAGCGTTGCTTTGGAATACTAAAGTTGAGCTACAATCAACTTCCGGTCCATCTGAAGCCGTGTTTTCTCTACATGGGCATGTTCCCAGAGGACTGCAGTATTAGCATCACCATGCTCATGAGGCTATGGGTTGATGAAGGATTTGTGAAACCAGTAGCCGGTAAAAGTCTGGAAACAGTTGCCAGAGTAGTGTACCTACAAGATCTCATCCTCAGAAACCTAATCATGGTTCGTGGGGTGGGGCCTGGGTGGTGGGGCCATACTGTAAGTATAACATGGTGCAACATCCACGATCTTCTGAGAGACCTTTGCATAAAGGAAGCCGAGAAATTCAAATTCTTCCGTACGACGGGAACAACGCACAACCCTGAGCACGACCAAAGTTGGAGTGCCCAACGCCGTATTGGCATTCACCATGCTGCATCAGAGGGGGAATACATTCCCCGTCCACTCCCTGAATCCGTGCAATCCGCGTCACGCGCACGGACTCTGATATGGAATGTTGATGCAATTTTACCATCTGTAGTTCCTTTTAGATTGCTTAGGGTTCTGAATGGAGAGAATAGATCAAATATGTCATCACCTCGTTACCCCGGTAGAGATTCTTCACAAGAATTATTTCTTCCTGCCAACTTGTGCCACCTGGTCGTCATCCCCTTATTTCCCCCTCGACCATTGGGAACTTACTTTATTATTAAGATAGGAAATATTTGCCAACTCTGGAATTTACGGACGATACAAGTTACTTATGGCATTATAAGGCCGGTGCTGGACATTTGGCAGATGCCCCAACTCAGGCACGTCGAGATGCCCATGATCCGGCTCGCGGATCCTCCTCCCGTGGAAGAATTCGAAAATGGTGATCGTATGGTGTTGGAGAATCTAGAGACGCTGCAGATCATACGTAACTTGATATTGGGTGAGGAAGTGGTCAAGAGAATCCCCAATATCAAGAAGCTCGGAATAGAATACAAGGAGAAGGAGAAGGAGGAGGAGGAGGAATTATCTCCGGCTGATTATGGCCTCGTCAATCTCTGTCGGCTACGCAAGCTGGAGACCCTTAAATGCCTTATTGATTGGAGGAAAAGTGAGGTGGCAAGGGACTTGATGATCACATTCCCGGATTCGCTCAGGGAGCTGACTCTGTGTGGCACGAGGCTGGGGTGGGAGGCGTTGGGTACAAAGATAGGGTCATTGCCATATCTCGAGGCCCTCAATATATTTGATGATGCGTTCGTGGGGCCCGAGTGGGAAACAGCCGAGGGCGGATTTCAGAGCTTGAAAGACTTGAAAATCTTGGACTGCGACTCTTTGGAACATTGGAGGGTGGAGGCCACACACTTCCCGCGCCTCGAGCAGCTTCAACTATCTCGTCTACCCAAGCTGAAGGAGATCCCACTAGAAGTTGGAAATATACCCACGCTTACGGAGATCAATGTGGATGAATGTGCCGACTCAGTGGTGCTTTCTGCAAAGAGTATATTAGAGGAACAAGAGCAGATGTTAGGGGAAGTAGAGCTTTATATTACTGTTTTTCTTGGTAATCAGAACCAACTACCGAAAATCAGAGCTTGAAGAGTCGGAACTTTAGTGTTTATTATTGGACAAAGAATCCCGCTATATCTTAGTTGTTCTTTGTTCTTTTTTGTTCAATCTGTATAACTTTTATTTAGACTATATCCAGAGAGTTGTATTTGACTACGTTGATAGAGTATATATATGAACACCATCCATTTGCAGTTTCTGGACCTTTGCTTGTTGTCAATTGGATCTCCTCTTAGTATCTTATGCCCCTAACTGTCAGTTTTAGCAGCTCAAAGTTGTTTTTGCTGGAGATATTGTACTCCCATCAGGTAGATAAAGCCCAAAGTGGGCACTAGTAAAAATGATTATAGAAACTAACCGGTTGGCTGGTTTCCGTATTTTTGTTTGAATTTAGGCGAATCGTTTGTTGAAGATGGTAGATATTGCAGAGTTTCCCGATATGAAGTAGAGAAGTTTCAATTTCTGATATCCATATGCCCATTGTAAATCCTTGAGAGGCAGGAGTATAACTCAACTTGTTTTTTGGGCCAAAGAGTCTACAGAAACACAATTGTAGGGCATGTACAGAATACCATATTTTGAATTAAATGGTTAAAGAGAACATAAGAAGATATTTATATTACATGAAGAGTCGTATTTTCGATTCGAGCTTAGAGATATTTAATGAGATAATATACAAGGATACACTGCATAGGATTGGGGAGTACAAGTCTTGGCATACACTCTTCTACCTGTTGAGTATTATATATTCCTTAGGTTTAAGAACTGAATTCAATTACTCATCATTCTTAAACGATGAGACATTTGGTAAGATGAAGAAGGGAGTGCGCATCATAAATGTCGCCCGGGGTGGTGTTATCGATGAAGATGCACTAGTGAGGGCACTTGACAATGGAACAGTAGCCCAGGTTTGTTTTCCCCCCTTTTTCTTGAATTGAATTGTTATGTATGCTGGAACATATTCTATACGAGATCAGCTCGATCTTCAGACCTCTTGTAGTTTTTCGCTCTCCTCAGTTCTCAGTCATGTTGGGTTTTACTATGTTCTAACATCTATGACACGAGTGGTGCCCAATTAACATTGATTTAATGGGAACAGACAATATCATTTTATGTTCTTCAAAGCTCATATCATCCAGTTTTAAGTACCTGGTGGGAAAATTTGAGTTGTTGCTTCATTTCTAATTTTTTGAAATTGTTCATTCTGATATATATATAGGCAGCCCTTGATGTGTTCTCAGAGGAGCCCCCAGCAAAAGACTGCAAATTGGTTCAGCATGAGAATGTCACTGTTACACCTCATCTTGGAGCCTGCAGCACAAAGGAAGCACAGGTATGAATATGAACTCAACATTTGGATTGCCATCAATATCTATTTTGTTCTGAGTTTATTTAATTATTTTCCCCCTTAAATCTCTCATTGCATTAATATGCTTGATCTTTGTTACGAACAGGAAGGAGTTGCAGTAGAAATAGCTGAGGCAGTTGAAATACGCTCAGGAGTTTGTGTTTCTTGATCTTTAAAGTTTTTGTCAAGTCAACTTATTATTATTATTATTATTATTATGATTTTCTAATATGGTTTTGTGGATTTTGGTTAGAATAATAAAACGGCATAAGTAAGCTGTGTTTTGTTGCTTGAGAACGCCTTGCTGGGTTTTTGTCTGCGTTAGTTAGCTATTGAGTTTTTGATATGCGAGTTACACCCTTCTGAAAAAAGGGAATATTTGTTGTTGTAATTGTTATTCGTATGCCTCTGGTGTTAGATGGAATGCATGAGCTGAAATACGAATGTGATGTGATTTTATTTGGGGAAGTTTTGGCTAATTAATTTTAATTTTCGTTTAGTTGCTAGTCATTTTGTCCACCTATGATTTTTTTTATTCGTATATTTATAATTTTTTTTAATTGTAAATATATAACTTTTCACTATTTATGAATGATGGATTTGTGGTTTATTTTTATTATAATTTTTTATTTTTGGTTTTAGGTTGCAGTTGAGAACAATAGTTGAAATTCTGTGTATCCAAAAGGTCAGAACTTACGTCCTGTGAGCCTGGAGTTGTTGAATTAATTCTGTTCTCAAAACTTCACCTAGACTAAAGTGTGGGCAAATTATTTTTTTGGGAGCACAAACTGAAGAGAATATCTGATCAACAAGGATCAAATTCTGATTACAGGTTAAATAAAAATAATACGAGAAAAGTCGATCAAGTGGAATTATGGAAACCTTCAGCCTCAGAGATATTAATTTATTATTGAAATACTAAAACCTATACTACTAAGCCTTAACGTTTTGAGGAATCCTTCATCAGTGGTTGTGAACGACTGATTGTTTCAATCTCTCTGTTTGTTTTTCACGTGATCTTCCAATTCAATGCCAACAGATGTATACGGATGAACTTGGCTGTGGCTTGTCAATTGTCGTGTGTTAATTACAGTATAGGTTAATAGGTGATTGATGAGCTCATGTTTCTTGCCAGTTTGTTAATTTGAAATTTTCATTTGCAATTGCACCAAAAGAATGTGTGGCTATAAAATGAGAGATTCGATTCTAATATGAACTATGTCGAATGGCTCGTGCCTATTTGTGTGATTCAAATGTGGCACAATTGCTTATACTCTTATTTGCAGAAGGCAAGCTGGAACCTTGTCCCCAAGTTCCCCCCACCCTTACTGGTNGGAACCTTGTCCCCAAGTTCTTTCACCTGCTTTTCTGTCTGGTACACTACTGAGTCTGCTTGGTTCTTGGTGTCTATGGCGTCCCTCTTTTCCTTGTCCTCCTTTGCGAATTTCTCCGCCTCACTAACCATTCTCTCCAACTGTAAGAACATAGGAAGAGATTACTGATAACCAAATAGGAATCAGATCGTTGCAAACAGCTCAAAATGATGCACATGTGAATAACACAAAATTGAAAAACTCAGGTATATCAGTATTTTTTTTTTCTATAATAATGATAATAATATAATAATAATAACTCTCTTAAAAGGTAGAGTTGTTTCTTGAAATGTTTAAATTGCCAAGAATGCCCTCATTAAAGATAAGAATTAATGTTCTTAATGTAATTTTCTTATAAATATTAGGAAGTTACATTGTTACAACTAACAATATTTGTTACTAGTACGTAGCCCGTGCGATGCACGGGGCATAAATATTAAATGAGTCATTTCTACAGAGTTTGTCCGTTAAGTAGTTCGTGCGATTCACTGGAGATATTGAATGAGTAGACCATAGGGCTTGTCCGTTTAGGCCTAAAAAATAATAGAGTCTGATCATTTATCTTTTTACATCTTTTCATCAACGTCATTTTTTTTTTGTCGAAATATTAAACCTGAGTCTGGTAGCGCAAGCCCGTAAATTAATTAATATATTATCTCGCTCACATGTTTATAATAATATAAATTTGATTTCATTATATATAAATATATATATTCCTTGATATAAGAAAAATAACAATTTTACGTAATCTTGTTCTTCGTATAATACTTATATTATTTTATTATAAAATTTATTGTAATATAATTTCATTATTATTATTTATGCAAGTTAAATATGTAGTCTTCTTCTTCTTTTTGTTTTATATAATTAAAATATTTAATAAATGTTCATATTATTTATAAATGTAATTAATTTAAATTATGTAAATAAATTTAAAGTAAAACATTTTGTACAAACATTTTACAAAATATACACAAATATTTTTTACAATTTTTTTTTTTTTTTATAATAAATAAACATCTTTGAAATTCTATGCAATTATTAAACATCAGTGATATAAATTCGAAATCATAATTGAATTCTATGCAATTAGTAATTCTGTCCGATGTTATGAGAAACAAATAATTCGGAAATGATTATATGTAAGTTGAGATAAAATGAAATGTATCAAAAAAAATCTGCTTATGATACTTTCCTTTAAATGTTTGAATGAAGTTGAAATTTAAATTACAAATCAACCTCCAGTTATTCAAATAATTTTAAAAAAGTTACCAATTGTAGTAAAATGTATGTGACAATATATTATAAATATACATGACGTCAGTAATGTTATGAATCTTTAAGTTTCTAAAATATATATTGTTTAAATATGAAACTAATTAACTTATATGTTAAGAAAATATATATAAATATATGTATTGTACGAAATATACGCGTGACAAGTTATTATATTTGTTTATATATTGTTTGTATTGTTATTATATTTGTATATAAATATATTGTTTATATATTTTTTTGTATTGTACAATAAATTATTATATTTGTTTATATATTGTTTAAATATATATTGTTTAGATATGAAACTAATTAACCTATATGTTGAGATAATATATATAAATATATGTATTGTATGAAATCTTCAACGTGTTTGTTAAATTTTTCTCCTAAAAAATTCAAAATACATTTAGGCATGTTTTGTTTGAAGTTTGAAATTTAAATATGCATTTATATAACAAATCCCATGATTTATGCTAGCATTAAATGCTACTTGATTTTTTATTAAAAAAATTAAAAAAACATACCAAAAATGGAATGCAATTAATGTTCCCTATTTTTTTGCTTACTATTTTTGAAAATGTTAATTCTTATTATATATATATAGATGTCTTGAAACATCCATTTCTTAATTTACTTTTATTCATTATCTTTTATTTTTTATACTTAGTTATATCTTTAAATTTTTACACGTACAAAAAGATTATCTACACAAATTTATAGATTTGAAATAAATAATTTATTCTTATTTATATTATTCAGAATTTACATATGATGTTAGGTGTTGTCAGTATCTTTACCGGAGTTGAATCAAAAGATTCGTTCTCCGGGTCGTATCGCAAGGAAGGTTAGCCGGCTATTCTTGTGCGTATATTCAATCACGAAAAAGAGAAGAAAAATTCCTAAACACTCTAATTCAATATTTTTTGGTTTCAATTATCAACTACTGATTTAAACTAAATAAAATGAAAATAAAATAGCAAACGAATTCTCTGAATGATTAAAGAGCTAGGGAATCGGGGATAATTGTTTTCGGTTCTAACACAATCACCGGCAATCGATTGCCCGGTTAAAGGTCTTGAATCGTTTCTCGTTCAGAGGTTCACTCTCAATAACTCTTCGTAACAAGAGAATGAATGTAAACGATCAACTATAAATTCCAACAACACATAGATAATACGTTTCCGAACAAATCTATTCTAAACGAGCCTAATTCAACCAACGTCTCCCCTCTCGGTTCTACACGTTGATTATCTAGGTTAGAAAGGTGATCAATCTACTAACCCTAGAATTCACACAACTCGAATAGACATGAACAATCAAAAGCATTCAATCATTATCGAATCTAATCAATCATCCCCTATCCTTAGAGAATTGATTTAGCTACTCATATGGAATTCGACATCAAAATTCATACAAACCCAAGCCATCATCATCAACAAAGCAATTGAGAAAAATAACTTACGATTAATAATGAGAATCCCAATGTCAAATCCAATGAACAATCCAAATCCAAAGCGAAGAAAAGGAGTTTTCAATCTCAAAAACAAATCAAAAGAGAAAAAGCACGAAAAGGAATGAGTTTCTCTAGATAAAAAGCGTAAAAATAAAGTCTGAAAGTCGAATTATGATCCCTAGGACCGAAATCTGATGTTAAAATCTCGTCCTCGAAATTCGCGCCGGTTAAGTCGCGAGTCGCGACGTAAGTCGCGAGTTCGTCAATTCCCTAGTCGCGAGTCGCGACGTCCTCGCGAGTCGCGCGTCGTCAAAATGTTCAATTTCTGGAGTCTGGTCGCGACATAACTCGCGAGTCACGACTCCATCTCGCGAGTCGCGACATCATGTCGCGAGTCGCGACTCTTGCTCGAAACTGCACCTTTAGCCCCAGTTTTTCTCGCGGGTCGCGACATTTTCGCGAGTCGCGACCCGAGTCGCGAGTCGCGAGACGACTCAGGAGTCGCGAAATTTTCTGGACGCGGTTTCTGTCCGTTTTTTCAGTCCTTCCTCGAGTCTTCTGGGCTTGGCAACGGGTATTCTCGATATCGCGGCTTCGGCTCAAGCAGTCCTAACCTCGACCGACACAACCTACCTCCTGAAAACACAAACACAGAAAAACACGAAGCAAAATACGGCAAAAAGACACAAAAATATAAACTAAGGAGAAAAACACAAAACGAACAAATTGAACAAATAAACAACGAAAAACCTACAAATGGGGGAAAACAAAAAGAAAATAAACATGAAATAAAGACACAAAAATGGGACAAACATTAGGTTTCGATTTGGTTATTTTAAAGGTAGTTTTAAATGTCAGAGAAAATATTATTTTAAGATTTTTAAAATAAAATATATTTTATTTCATAAGTGTAAAATATATGATTCACCAATGAAAGTATCATCTCTAATTTTTAGATATGATATTGTTTACTATAGAGATTCTTAGTTATAGTATTAAAAAAATTAAAGAACAATTTATTGAACATGCATATATTTAAGAACGATTGAATTAAAAATTATTTTT